AGTCTTCTCCCAGTTCTCGGCCACGTGGAGCTCAGAGCCTCCTACTTCAGCTGCCATACTAATGATGCAGTATGCTCCAACACAATTTATCCAGACTTAATTACTGCACGTTAAGTGTCTGTTCTCTGTGATGGCAACCTGGTGTTCCCATGCGTTTACATAGGCTGATGAAGTGTTCACGTTCAACTTCAACCTGATTGTAACACGTGGAGGGAAGCAGGCCACATATGCGCTGAACAAGACCTGCACTCTGTCACTCCCGTGGTCTCCCCGAGAGGTTACCTGTGAGGTCAACTACATGGAAGTAAGCTTGGATTCAACCTGTAGCCTTTTTATCCAGGGAACTCCTTGAGATCTCTTATAATCCCGGATTTTCTGCAGGTGTCGGTGAGGAGTGAAGCAACGTGTCCGCATGAGGAAAACGGCGATTCTGCTTTTAAACCCGTATGTTTCACGTTACGTGCAACTGCCAAACCTAATTTTTATGCACAGCTAAAATGACAAATTTGGGAGGGCTTCTCTTGAAATGTATTTCCTCTTAGGCCCTTTACTCAGATTGGAAGGTGATGTTTCAAGGAGCAGAGGATCAGTTTCTGCCCATGAATTTCTCTGAAGCTCGGAAGCTGGGTTACGTGTTTGCTCTCACAGATGAGAGGCTTGTGTTTCGGACACCGTATGAGCAACCCCATTCTTTCAGCACTGAGGTAAAGGTATGAGAAACTGTAAAGGTTAATTATCTTATTCCTGGCTTATGTTAAATTTTCCAATTTGTTTCTCTTTTTTTCCAGGTGAATGGCGTTCCAGTAGAGGTGGTCCATGCAGTCCTGTTCTCGAGGCAAAGCTGGGTTGTCCTTGTGGTCGATCTGTTGGCTGCTTGCTCGATGCGTCAGTATTAATCCTGGTGTTTTGGGGGTTGCTTTTTTTGTTTTGTTTTTGTTTTTTTTTAACCCAAATACTTATAAGGAAACAACAATAATGGCGTGTTCACAGATAATGGGTCATATGACGGTGGCTATATGATGTGGGAGACTTCTGAGCTGCTCCACAGTCTGGTGTCTCCCTTAAATGAGACGGAGGTCAGCATTGGAGCCAATGGGAAACTTGTGGAGAAGAAAGTTGCAGAGGAGAGGGGCTACACCGTGGAGAAGATTAACACCACCCTGCAAGTCAGTATCCCTTACAAAGCTGAAGGAGGCTACAGGAAGGTAAGAAGGCACTAGTGCTGTAGACTTGGACTCAGCAGGTCTTCAAATCACAGCAGAGCTATCAGGTTAAGATGAAATCTTAGTGACGTAGCCTGACTTTCTTGCAGAGCTTTGTGTCTCGAGACCTCTACGAATACTACGTCTTTCGTCTCTACTTGGAGCAGATCTCAGTTGACGAGGCTGAGATTGCGGCCAGGCTTCGTTTTCACAGGATTATAGTCACTCCCCTGCTGCGATGCCACATTTTCACTGAAAATCGTAAGTGTATCTAATGCGCTGCATCACATCGCTGTGGCCATATTCTGATGGGCTTTTTGTTTCAGAAACTCTTGTAAGAGAGCGCACATTCACCATCTATCTCGGCGGTGTCCCCGAAGACGTGGTGTTAGTTTCTATTCAGCTAAATGGACGAGAATTTACCTTGCCACTTACAAATATGAGCACCTACAACCTCACTGAAGTTCTCCACCCCAACGGCACCCATGGATACACACTGACGGTGCTTTTTGATGATCCTATTGTCAAACTGCAGGTAATCTTTGGGATTAACACACACCCCCGACCCCCCCACCCACCCCTGTATTTCATGCTGGTTCTTAAAATCTTAAAATGTTTCCTGTTAGTTCTCCAGAAAAGCCGTGGCAATGCAGCACATCCTGAATGTCAACTACACACTGGCTGTTCAGCCTGGAAATGAGCCTTATTATCATGAAACAACAGTCACAGCTCTAACTCGTGTCTGTAAGTCTTGAACTTGTGTTTAGTCTTTGGCTCAAGCATGAAATGGTATTAAGTAATCCTGTATCCAACAGCGCCTCCCGTCTTTGATGCCAACTGTTCGGAGTCCAGCATACACTTTAAGGTGGACCATCGCCCTTTTGATTACTTTTGGGAGCTTGCCATCGGCTCAGATGTGCTAACCTCAGACCTGGCAGACCGGCGTGGCTACATCTTGAGTAATGACAGCCAGAGTCTGCGGCTTGATGTGCCGCTATTCACTAATGGGTATAAATACCAGGTAGACGAGGGAAATGCTATTGGCATCATCAGTTTGTTCTTAATAGGCTTGAATTGTGTTTAAATGTAGAAGTGCTGCATGTGTTTGGCAGGACGTCACTTTGAAGGGATTCTCAGGAACTTTTGAGATCCTTGTGAGAGTTCGTGAAACATCAGAAGTCCAGACGTCCACAGTTAAGACCTGCCTGTTCAATCCTGAAGAATTCATTAGTAAGTGCATCCAGTCTTGACTATTGCAGACAGTCTCAGAGTTACCCATCGTGTTAAAATTCAATTGTCTGTGCAGTGTGTTCGACCAATGGGAAGGTGAACGTGGTGGCTAACTTGTCTCTGCCAATCCCAAGTGGAGGGAGCGCAGCTGAAACCAGCCTCAGGGACAAATCCTGTCAGCCTAAAGATGCAGATGGCACCAGGGCTCTCTTTTCTTTTGCTGTTAATGACTGTGGAGCTATAATCATGGTAATGAACAAATGTTATCTTTTATGTATCATTTGTACCATATATTAAAATGCTTTTATTTTACTTAGCTGGGCAGGGACTCTGTGACCTATAGAAATGAGATCCTCTTCAGCTCTGTGAGAAATCCAGAAAATCTGAGCAGTAAAAACAGGTATGCATCCTCACCCTCAACTACTGGGGTTTTCACCCTTCAACTACTAAAATGTAACTTGTATTCCAGGGTCTTGCTGCAGTGCACATATACTGTGGCTGGATTACATGCCCTCTTCTCGGCATACAAGTTTGAGTCTGACACAGTTGGCGTTGGTCGTATTGTGCATTCTAACCGCATCATTGAAGGTGGGTGGTTTAACAATTAAACAGCCTATCGGTGTCACTGAAAATGTTAAGTTAA